TTCCTTCCCCCCCCCCCCCCTCAGGTTACTAGACCTAATGTCCCCATTGGAAGATTTACCTCTATTACTTTTCTTGGAACATCCTAAAATTTGGGATTTTCTTTTACTTTCACTTTCAACGATAATGCTAAACAGCACACAGAGAGAGAGTAAATCTCCATAACGGGGACACAGACAGCAATAAAAACTGACAGAGGTTTTACTCCATCTTTGCTCTGTGCATCTATACTCTCTTATTTTAAAGAATCCAGTGTACTGTAGTCATATTAGTAGATGATTGATTCTGATTGGTTGATTATTTTTTTATGGAGATAAGCTTTGAACAGGGGCCCTCCACAGTCTGCCTCCACTACTGCTGTAAGTTCCCTAAACGTCCAGTAGATGTCAGTATGGCTCGCTTTGCTTTTCTGTGTGCAACAGGAAGGAATCCATTGTGTTGTGTTTAATTGCTTCCAGCGATTGTTCGACATTCCTGTCCTTCCGACATAGTTAAATAAAGCAGCAAATAATAAAGTTTTAACAATCTCATTAGTTGCCTGCCACTGCCAGTCTTCCCATAGACACAGCTTCTTATTGTCTGAGAACAATCCCCATTGCTGTGGGTGAGAGATGTCTATTACATGTGTGTGCGACCTGGAGGCGCTTACTGTGATGTTTGGATAGAAATGGGGCAGATGCAATAAATTTGGTGGTGTTCTTTTGAACTAGTACATTGTAATTAGTAGCACCCCTTGTGCCGTTTACTAACCGCCTCATTAGACTTTGTCCTTTCAATTACACCGGAATGTATTTACGAAAGCTGGAGGAATAAATATTAACTGTGTTATCTAGAACAGCCAATCAGATTCCAGCAGTAAAGTTTGCATTGCAGGTTAGAATTTAGAAGAAAACACAGAGTCATCACAGGTGCAAAAAAAACCCAAAGCAAAACAAAAAAACTAATCATTAATCAGACCTAGCAGTAGTTGTATTATATTTAGCTGGTGTGTGTGTAAGATTTGGATGCCCTGTGTTCGATTTGTTTAGATTGGTGTTTAATAATTAATATGCACCACACTTGCTAATTTTAGGATACATGCAAAGAGAATACCAATAATTAAAGCAGAGCTAAACTCTGCAATACTGGGCTTTTCTTCAACAGTTGACGTCCCTCGTCGGCATCTTCTACCTTTGTTGGCCGGTGTTGGATGATGTCACTCTTGCATATCTGCAGGAGTAGAGTCATCCCGGCACATGGGTGCTGTGCCTGTGCAGCTCGGCATACATTCTAAAGCAGACTGCAAGCAGGTAGGTAGGTAGGTTTCTTTAGACATTGCATGCCTGTTCTGCAGTAAAGAGCCTGCCTGATCACAGTTTAAATCTCAGTTGATTCAGTGGGGACCACCTGAGATTTGATCCATCTATGGGCAGGCTGGTTGTAAGTCGATCAATTGATTGACATCAGGAGAACCAGCCTGTCAGATTTTTTTCATTATTTGTGAAATAAACCCAACCAGATAACTCATTAGTGCTGCTGTTCATGGATGCAAAACATCAAACTGCTAAAATTAATATAAATGATAAATAGTATCCAAAAAAAAATAATATTGAAAAATGTTAAATCATCAGTGAAAAATTGGAAAAAAATATATCATCAGTGAAATATATGAAAAAAGTCCACTATTCCAAATCAATGGTGAAGAAAAAGTGCTTCTATCAAAGAAACTGTGCCAAAGGAAATCCAACGTGCACGTTGGATTTCCTTTGGCACTATTTCTTTGATAGGAGCACTTTTTCTTCACCATTGATTTGGGACAGTGGACTATTTTTCACACACACACGTTTCACTGATAATATATATAATTTTTTTTTACATTTTTCACTGATGATTTAACATTTTTCAATATTATTTTTGATACTATTTATTATTTATATTACTTTTTGCTCTGTGTTAATATTGGTGTTAAGATTTTTTTCATGTGATTACTGCCAGCAATTATAGCCACCAGCAGTAACCATTGTGTTCTTCTGGCAGGGAAGGCTAGATTGCATAAACTATGGGCTGCGTAAGTTCTGCTTAAGTCTTATATTTTCTCATATTGGTTAGTTTGTGAGAGACTTTAAGCTGGCCATAAACTATGCAATCTGATTGTTCAGCCTACGTACAACTCTGTAATGTGAGGGCCTATCTTAAAGTGGAACATTAGGCCATAAATAGTATGGTAGATCTAAAGGAGATTGTAATGTCAGATTGCATAATGTGTGATCAGCTTTGAAGACACGACAGCATGACACAGGATATGAATACTTACCACACAGATCTGCATGTGTAAAAACCTTCCATGGTTGGGTAAGGTGGTCCAGGTGAGGGTGGGATGGTGAATCATCAGCAGAAAGAAGGAGGCCCTGATCTTATTATATCAATCCTTAATTAGACTGCATTTAGAATACTCCCGTGTCTTGTTCTAATGACCTCATTATCCAAAGGATATTGATCAGATAGAGCGTGACCAGAGATGGGCAACAAAAGTAATGCAAGGTCTGCTAATTGAAACCTAGGGAGAGCCTAGAAGACCTTGATAGCACAGTGGCTAAATGGTTAGCACTTCTGCCTGGCAGTACTAGGGTTGTTGGTTTCGAATCCCAGCCATGATACCACCTGCCTGGAGTTTGCATGTTCTCCTTGTGCCTGCGTGGGTTTCCTCGGGTACTCCGCTTTCCTCCCACACTCCAAAGACATGCTGGTAGGTTAATTGCCTCCTGACTAAATTGTCCCTAGTATGTGTATGTATGAATGTGACTTAGGGACCTTAGATTGTACACCCCTTGAGGGTTAGGGACTGATGTGAATGTACAACATATATGTAAAGCGATGCGTAAAATTGACGGCGCTATCTAAGTACCTAAAATTAAATTAATAACATTTTATATATATATATATATATAGCAACAAGAAGGGACATGACATGGTGCTGCACTTGTGATTATTATTACTATTATACAGGATTTATATAGCGCCAACAGTTAACAATATAAAGGGAGATAATACAGTTCAATACAAGAGGGTTAGGAGGGCCCTGCTCCTTGGAGCTTACAATCTAGGAATCTATGACACCAGCAGTTTGATGGCTTGCCAGTTCTTTTGACTGCACAAGCAACTGTGGCTGCTGTCATTCACAGCATGCCTTCAATGTAACTGTTTTTGGAAACCATTAAATCAATGGATTTCCTTTATATAAGGTTCAGAAGGGGATTATTTTTAGGAGAAAGCTGAGATTCAAAACATGCGGATAGGACCTCAAACTAGCAACATGAAAGTTCCAGCGTAACTATAGGAATTAGTAGTGGATACTTGGAACAGACTTCCAGCGGAGGTAGTAAAGCAATCTACAGTAAATGAATGTAAACATGCCTGGGATAAACATAGGTCTATCCTCAGCCAAAAAAATGGTAAATAGAAAAGCATACTGAGTGGACACCTTGGTGGTCTTCTGCCATCTGTCTTCTATGTTTTGTGAATTGAATTCTAAGAAAGTGATGTTTGTTTGTTTGAATATTGCACCAGGGTCTTTAAATAATCCATTGATTACCTGCTCCATATAATGTATTTTAAACGGCTTGCCGCTATGTCTAGACCATACCGCAGAATTAAATAAAGATGGTTTGTAATATGTATTTACAGGGTCAAATAAAAACCGAGTATTACACCTGGAACTGTGATCAAGTAACAGAACTGTGATCAACAGAATGTATATGATAATACTATGTTTATCTAAGCGATATTGTATGAAATGTATAAATGTGTACTGTATATTACCAATAAAATAATAGCAATAATAAACATATCAATAATAAAAATAAAATACTAATTATTATCATTATTATTAGTAGTAGTAATAATAATAAAGTAGAACTATAGGCAAACCTTTTCTTTTTTTTTTTTTTTTAGATTAGAGTAAGGGAGGTTTTTTTTTTTTTTTGCCATCTGTGTCCCATTGGGGAAACTTCCCTTCACTTCCCATAACCAAACAGGAAGTGAGAGGAAACCCCTGCAAGTCTGCAAGTTAAGGAATTCCTCGGGAACCCCAAGGTCATTAGAACTTATGTCCCCTTTGGAAGATGTCCCCTCTATTACTTTTCTGGGAATAACTCAAAATTTAAGATTTTCTTTCTATTCTCCTTAATGGGGGCACTCGCAGAAATAAAAACTGAGAAGTGTTCTAATACTTCTGCACTCTATCCAAAACAAAAAAAAAAAAGTTTTTTGCCGCTGGTTATATTTTAATATTACTTTTATTATTGTTTAATATTTTTATTATTGTTTGATTATTATGATAATAATGATAAAAATAATAATTAACATAATAATAAAAGGAATATTAAAATAATATGAATAATGCAAAAGTATTATTTTTTTTATATTCTTTTTATTTTTATATTAGATTTATTACCATGTGCCTTGTTTTTTAAGCCCTCATTGCGGGATCTGGTAAAAAATAATTTGTTGCACCTTAGTGAATGGTGCCTATTGTGCCGAGTCTTGTTGCCTAACGAAAAAAAACAACTTTGCGAAGTTGCAAATTCTCAGCGCTGGTTAAAACCCCTCTTCCCAAAATGCTCCAGTTCAGCCAAACTTTGCCCACCTTTTGATGTGAAAGGACTATTGCCGCCTGATTAATAATGAAAAGTAAGTGCTACTAAGTGGTGTGGCAATGGCATTTCCCCTTTTTTGGAAGCCATCCAGGATCTCTCCTAGAAGGCTAATTGCTTGTCATTTCCCTGGGCACGTTTACATACCAGGAATGGTTGTGAATGCAGCCTGCAGACAGCAGCACTTGGCTGTCATTAGAAGTGAACTGCTCTTCTCTCTCTCTGCAGAAAAGGTTTTTTTTTTTTTTTTTTTTACCTTCATTCTATCTCCCTGGACTGAAGATTAGCTGTGAGAACCCAAGGCAGCACGTCATGAAGCTCTCACACATCCCATCTGGGAAGAATAAGACATGCCCAAACCTTTTTCATTGCAGGGCCAATGAGGAAGCTGAAGTATGTTGAGAGTCCCCGAGTGCCAGCAGACTCAGCTGTAATGCCATTGAGAAAAGTCTTGGAGCTGCCGGACCCCAACCAAAATGGTGAGTGCCTGGAAATCCTGTCCTGTCTGTCTTATCATTGCAGATCGGTTCATAGACTCTCCCTGGGATCAAAGAGCAGAGCATGCTTGCTATGAATGGAAGGGCTCATACAGGTCTAGGACCGCAGCTGTCTCCTGTTTTAACTCTTTAGCAAAGTTTCTCAGACTAACGTGAATTTATTGCAATGTCTTGAGACTTTTGGCAGTGACGGGGTGTGAAGACTGGCAGGTAACCCTTTGGTGATTGTGGGTTTTCTTGTAGGGGGGGTCGGGGACAATCTTCTGTGTGTTTTGTTTGGGCTAGTCCGCTCATGGACCGGCAAACTTCATTCACACTAGGAGAAAAAAAAAAAACTTGATTTTCTTGTCTGTGTACCCTTGGAGGGATTGTGTTACCCTGTTTGCCATACTATATTATGCCAAGCTTATGTTAAAGGAAATTTGTTAAACCACTTAAAAAGCTACTCGAGAAGCCTCAGATAGAAGCTGTCGTGAACAGGATTCTGAGCCAAATGGCGTTCAGGGAAGGTGAACATATAATGCTCCATCGCAAGTGGCGTTCCTGTCCTAGGACAAGTACACAACCGTGAGAATGACAGCTTCCATCTGAGGCATCCCACAGGGGTGTTTGTGCTTTCTCTCATCTTCCCTTTAATGCATGCTTTAAAGTTCCCAAAAGCCATGTTGGTAAACTTTTTGTGGCTAGTAAGGCATGCTTGTAGGTTAATCATGAATTTCAGACTTCTTCATAGTGATTAGATTAATGACAACAGGTACATTTAACAAAAAAAAAAAAGAAAAGCTAAGCTATCATATTTTTTTTTTTCTACAGCCGGTTGCATATGTGCATGTCATGTAATAATAGTATTTTTATTTAACCGTTGTGGGCTTTAGTAAGGCAGTGCAGGGGTGATCAATAAAAGTGGTGGCCCATAACAGTCAATGCAATAGTTCAGAAACCAGGTCTCATTAGTAAAGTCAGATCAGCTAAGATCTAATTTTGGTTGATAATTAGTTACTGTACTGTGCAGGGTGTCCATTGCCTGTCTGCCTGAGCCAGCAAGGAAGGAGTTAAACAATCGCTCACCCTTGCAGCTGGCACAGCATTGTGGCTGCAGGAAACTGCCCTGAAACAGGAAGATTTACAAACTCCTCCTTGCTGGTGGCTCTGGAAGCCAGGAAGGGGTTAAAGCCTCTTCCTGCACTCAGGAGGCCGGTGTCATCAGTGCAGTACAGAACAGTGACCCCGTGGGAACGTCTTTGGCTTGACAACCTCCGGTGCAGCAAGGGTTAAACATACATATTCATAGGAGCTGCACAGCAAAGAGAAATTCGAAGTCACATTGTTTTATAATTGCCGGAAAAAAAATGATCCATGTCAGCGCATTTCACAGCAGTGAGTCTCTGGGAAGATCATAGTCAGAGGGAAATCTGGAATATCTAACAAGCTAACAGTGTCATTATTAGGAAGATATAAAGTCTATCACATGACGTCCCACACCCCGCTCCGCTTTGAAAAAGTTAATTGCATTGCTGTTCCCACACAGTAACTGAAAGTGTTCTCTAACTTTCCAGGGGACAAAAAGGAAGGACCAACAAAAACTTTTACTTTTAGCCATGAAGAAGTCTTGTTCAAATTTCTGCTTGTTAAAGCTAGTGAAGGATGGCTGTTGATTGGTACTCTTGGATACTGTATGGCAGTGGTTCCTGACATTAGAGATATGTGTCATCCCTTCGACTTGGTTCACACTGCTTTGTATGTTGGTGCACTGCGGTGCTATTCATTCTTAAAGTATAAGTCCACCTTTTGTTATGTTACACCCGTATCCAGGATGTATGTAACATGTTACTGTTGCAGCAGCCCCTGCACTGATTCCCGTTGTGACAGCAGGCTGAGGATCTTCTCCCCACACCCGGTGTCACAATTTAAAAAACAATGCAGCCTATGCCTACCTGGCCTTAACATTCATTCACAGAGTTCTCTGAATGAAAGAACTACAAGTACCAGCAGCTTTTGCAGTGCTGTTGAGTGCTCTAGGTTAGGTAGTTGATTCTTCCTGTCATTGTGTAACTGCCTGCCTGTACAAGGTACGAGCAGACAAATACACTGTCAGTCTGCAGGAGCCTGAGATTGCACCCATGATCTGCTGTTTGCAGGTGCAATGCTTTGCATTCTCCTAGTAGAATTTTTTTTTTTCCACAAAGGTGAACTTACCCTTGACGTTCCGAGTTTACCTTAATAACAAACGTGCTGCAGTGCACCACATTACACAGTATTGCACTGCCATGCATTGAGGTGCAATGCATTCCAAAAAGTATTATTTTTAGTTAACTAGTGCAGTAGGCACCCCTTTCGAATAAATAACTGCCTAAAACCAACACACATTAACGCAGAGAAGAATGCATGTCCATGCATATGCGTTACTAGAAGTGTGAATCTAGCCTCAGGGAAACGTGTCTTAGGTGCCAGGGGTACTCCTATTTGGTCATTTAAACTATAAATGCCAGTCTGAAAGGTTAGTAAATACTAATTCAATATAAAAACAGCATTAGTTATTTCAGAAGCAGAAGGATTGCTTGGGAAAACAGTGATGTACGAGGGGCATTCAAGTCAAACTTGAACTTTCAATTTTCTGGTATAAGAAGGGATGCTAGCGTGGCGGTACTACACACAGTAGAAAGTGGCAAGTGTGTCCTATTACTGATAGATGGCATACATGTTGCGGGCCAGTCCAGAGACAGCCAATCATGATGGCAGACAACAGTGTTAGTGTGTGCGTGGAACAGTGTGTGGTTATGAAGTTTCTTGTGAACAAAGGTGTAAAATCCACTAATCTCTACAGAAGACTTCAAGCACAGTACGGTGATGAGACGCTCAGCCGCAGTAAGGCTACGTTCACACTAGCCTTGGTTTCAAGCGGTAGAAAGGTGTTTGGGAAGCGTTTTTACCGCTTCCCAAACGCCTCGGACAATTCTGCCCATTGCAGCACATGGTGCTGTTCTAAACGGGAGCGGTAGCGTCGCGGTGCAGCAAAACGGACGCCTCTGGTCGAGTCAGGAGGCGTTGAAGCCTTCTATTCTAGTCTATGGTGCCGCTTCACAAATGCCCGGCTGGCATTTGCGGTGCGGTTGCGACGTGGTTGCGGTGCTTTTTCGGAGCGGTAACACCATCCACACTTCATTATAGGCGTTTGTGGGGCGTTTTTAATGCTCGGCAAACGCCTAGCAACTGCCGCTGAACCGCGCATGCAGCGTTTGCAGAGCATTAAAAAATGCTCCGCAAACGCCGGACCAACGCTTGCCAAACGCTATGGGGGCGTTTGGCAAGAGTTGGTAAAACAAAACAGTCAAGTCTGAATGGTGTAAATGTGAATGGTGTAAATGTTTCAAAAATGACCGTGCATCCGTCAGTGATGATCCCGGCCGTGGTGGATTCTCAGCAGTCATTCCTGTGAACACTCAGCACATGGAACGCCTGATCCTGGATAATAGATGCATAACCTGTCGTGGAATTGCACAAGAGACAAATCTTTCTGTGGGAACGATGAACACAATGATGATGAAGTGAAGCCGGCTGCCCTAGGATGGTTTAGGTTGTACTGACAATTCTATGCCGAAGCTTTCCAGGCATTAATTATAGTGGTTCTAAAGGCTCAAGGTTTTTTACCTTCATGCATTCTATGTATGAAGGTAAAAAACCTCTATGCAGCATCCCCCCCCAGCCCTCCTAATACTCAACTAAGCCCACTCTCTATCCAGTGATGTACACTGTAGTCTCAGCTATCCCCAGACTCCCTCTTCTCATTGGCTGTGACAGAAGCGGGAGCCGTTGGCTCCCACTGCTGTCAATCACAGCCAGTGATAAGAGAAAGGGGGCAGAGCAGTGTGAATGGATACACGGAGCAGTGGATGCCCCCATAGCAAGCTGCTTGCTGCAGGGGAACCCGACAGGAAGGGAGAGGACAGGAGTACCAGCAGGGAACCCTGGAAGAGGAGGATCCGGTCTGCTCTGTGCAAAACCACTGCACAGAGCGGGTAAGTAAAGACATGTTTGGTATTTTTTCTTTAAAAACCATAAGCTTTTAAAATCACTTTAAACACTGGGATAAGTGTTTAAATGTAGCAGGGGAGTATGTTGAAAAATAAATGCAGTTTTCCACTCAATTTGTACAATTTGTTCTTTTATTAAATAAACTCAAAAGCCCCGGTTTGACTTGAATGCCTCTTGTATTTGAAGGTTATGGCCATAAATTTACACACTTCAGGGGTTTTTGAGATGAGGTGAGACAAGCCAAGGGGTACTTGGTAAACCTTTTTGTTAACTAAAACAGTCATGCAGGCAAACAGCTAAACATACAGCTGAAATAAATATATGTGGACTGTTCTAACCGACATTTTTATGATCAGCCATTCTTTTTATCCAGACTCCCCTGCCCAGCAGTATTGCCAGGCCTGTGAATTCCCAGCCTGCTGATTGGACAGGAAAGTAGCAGAAGAGCACTGCTGCGTTGTCAGCCATTGTGGGCTTCAACGGATCCCGCTTTATTTGATTTTGCCATTTCTTTTCGTGAGGCAGAGTCTCTGATTTCTGCCTCAGTCTGAGCAGAATTTTTTTTTAAAAATGTAGGTTTTACATCATTAAATAAATCTTAACATTTTTTTTTGTTTAACATTTCCCCTTGTCGTGGGACAAGCAGATATTATGCAGCCCAGTTTTTGACACCCTAAAAACCTTTGTGGTTGCCCACCTTTTCGGAGCAGAACAGTCCATAGTGGATCATGGCAATAACGTTTTTTTTTCTGTGATTCAATTTGGCAATATATGCATTGAAATGGCAATACTGTGTAACGGCAATTCATATTTTTGGGGACAGCATTAATTCTGTAGGGGGTGTGACTGTAGGGCCGTGGTCTCCAAACTGCAGCCAGATGCGGCCCTTTGCTTGCCTTTATGCAGCTCTTGAGGCATTACTCCTGCCACTGACACTAACAGTGGAACATAATTCCTGCCAATGATACCAACAGGGCACTATTCCTCCCACTGACACCATCAATGGGACATAATTCCGTCCACTGACATCAACAATCGGGCACTATTCTTCTCACTAATACCAACTGTGGGGCACTATTCTTCCCAATAATACCAACTGTGTGGCACTATTCCTCCCATAAACACCAATGATGGGGCATTATTCCTCCCATTGACACCAATAATGGGGCACTCGTTCTTCCTCTTAATACTAGTGATGGGGCACTATTCCTCCACTGACACCAATGATGGGACACTATTCCTGCCCCCTAATACCAAAGATGAGGCATTGTTTACTCTCACTGGGCAGTGTTGTGGCCTCCCTAAAATCTGAACCACAGTAAACTGACCCTTTTGTTAATAAGTTTGAAGGCCCCTACTGTAGGGGATGCAAAGAACCCAATCAGTAGAGGACCAGGAAAGAGAAGGACCCAACTAGTGACTGTGTGTCTTTTATTTACTAGTGTTGCTCTCCTGCAGAGTAATACCACATTCTCTTTTCTTTTTTTATTCCCTTCTCTGTTCTTATCTGTTGCTGAATGTAAGACTACTAGCCTTTGGTGACACCGAATCCAACTTCGAGATTGTACGACTCCACTTGAAGTCGCACTATTTAGGAGTCGGATGTCAGTGAAAACTTTAAGTGCGACTTGCGAGACATCTGTGTGACTTCTTGCACAGATGTCTATGCAAGTCGTATCTGACCTTTCAAAAAGTAGTGCATGTATTGCTTTCAAACTCTGTGTGACTTGATATGACCGCTTCAATTGTGGAGAATAGGGTGTTACTTGAAACTATCTAATCACATGACAAGACGCACCGGTGTCACCGGTAGTCTTACAGATTGGCCATTTTTTTAATAAAACAAACTCCACATCAGAGACCACCAAAGTTTTTATAGAAGAGTTCCCCAATATAGGTTTGGCAGCAAAGCCATCTGATAATGGCTTATGTTATTGGGCTCTCTTACATGCAAATACTTGTCTCCTTTACCTGCCCTGTCAGCTGGTCTTGGCATGTCATCGGCACCTGGCAGGGCCTCTTGACTACTTTTTGTTTGTCCCCTCCGCGAGACTCTTGTATAATGGAGGTTGCTGCAGCCAGCTTGTCAGTTCACTTTACGCCGGGCCCAGTAAATATGATATGACGGCTGGGGACTAGCCCGAGTCGTCTCGCTTTCTCTCTAGCCGCTTTGAAGTGCTGGTTTTGAGGGTTAATTAATTTGCCTAGGCAAGCCAGAGTTCACGCCAGCATCTCCAGATCTGACAGGAAGGCGGACGTAATTGGAAGACCACTAATGAATGGGTATGTGGGAGCAGGACAGGACAAGACTGACAAAGAGGCTGGCCCAGTTCCTGGAGGAATGTTCTGCCACAGACTTGGGAATTCTGCCATCATCCTCTGGCTGCTGAGGCACTACAGATCCCAGCATGGGGGTGCCAGGGAATGTAATGATCTATATTTGTAGTACTTGCTGCCCAAGTGTACTCCAAGTGTACTCTGACAATAGCTAGAAAAGTTTCCATTGTTTGTTTAGTTTTTTTTTTTTTTTTGTTTTTTTCTTTTGCTGATTGCCATTGGGGATTATTCTTTTAACCAAATTGGCTATATTAGGACACGTTTCATTTTGTTTCTAAACATGAACTAAGCGCTTTGCATATTATCTGCACTGCTGTTGCCAGATATGGAAATACTATTAATTCATTGTACTTATTGATTTCAAGAGCTTCTCAGTTTAAACACATTCTGCTTTCCTATCAGAGGGAGTTTGCCCAAACCCCTTGGGCGCCAGATGTCCTTTTTCAGGCCACCAGTCTAGTTTTTAAAGGGTTAGTCTACCCAAAAAACTAATGTTTTTATAGGTGTTGGAAGGTCACCTGTTTATTAGATCTCTCGCAGGTCTATTGCAGAGATCTGTGTTTTGCTTTGTTCAAGGGGGCATAATAATGCATATTCCAATGCGAAGGCCATGTTTACTCGCACAGGGAGGGTGTTCCGTGCCCTGTGCAAGCAGTCCCATTCATGTGAGTTTGGATGTATTGGCTGTACAAACATGGCGGCTGCTTGCAATATGACATCTGTGCAGATGTGGGTGCATGTTATTGAACTCACCTATCTGCGTTCAGGGCCATGTCAGTGCAGCCGCTGCATCCCAAATGACATCAATAGGACTTGCCTGCACAGGGAATTTATGGAACACCTATGTATCCCCGTGCAGGTAAACACAGCTCACACACTGGGTACGCATTGATACACCCCATATGAACAAGGCCTGTGAGTTCCAGGCCCTGCACAGCTGCTGTGACCATTACGAGGGGCTCCCGCTTTTCCTGTTGCATTTGTTATGTATTTTATATCATGTTGAATGAAATAGGAAGAGCCAGAACACACAAAGGTGAATGGGAATACCAACTCTTAGGTAGACATCAAAAGATAGAGGAGCTATGCCAAGGAGATTTCACTGATTGTGGTAATTAAAAGAGAAGTATAGGGTTTAAAAATAAAAATCTGGGTGAATGCAGCATCATCCACCGGATGCAGGACTGAGAACTGAGTGATCAAACACTGCTGATCGCTCAGTTTTTGGTTTTCACAGAGCAGAGAGCTGGTGACGGTCAGTCACCAGCTCTCTGCTCTGCCAACCAGCGCTCACTGAGAGGCTGAGCCAGCTGCCGGTCCAAGCATTTGGGTGCATCCCGACATTAAAGTCTTGAACTTTCCAGAGCCTGGACCAGCCAAGTGACGTTAGCCGACAGCGAGCTATAGCCCACTTTTGGCTGAAAACGGGTCACAGGAGTGCAGATCGAGCTGCACTCTTGTGATCCCCAGGAGAAGTAGAGTCAAAATAGCATTAGCTGTACTTCTCCGTTTAAGACCAAGAAGGAGCCAGGGGCTAACTCGGCCCACCAGTTACATATACAAGTAAAGCACTACTTTTGGTGGCCTGACCCTTTAAGGCCAGCTCCCATATTATATCTAATATTGATGATAGATTGGCCATACCGTCCATTAGAAGCCATGGAAACATTATTCCCTATCAGTTTCCAGCAAAAAATCAATGTGCTTTCTAATGACGACCTCAGCAATTCAGATATGTTGATTCTCCTTAACTGTGAGTCTATTACAGATATTTGATTTCCAGTTTGCTATTAGCTCATAATGGAGCTCTGTAGTCTTCTGCAGAAGAAATCCTCCAGCCTGACGTCTTTCCCATTTCACCCTCTCCATGTAGAATCTGCACTCGATAAGACCTCGGGTTGTTCACCGGCTGCTCAGGAGCTGATGACACGGCTGGGATTCTTGCTGGGTGAAGGCATTCCGAACACTGCGCGAGTTTCTATGGATGAGAAGAATGAAACTATGGTAAGTGTGCACCACTGGGGCAGGCTTTGTGGTTATTGGGTTTTGGCCTCTGCCCCATTTTATGCCTGCTATTTGAACTAACCGTACCCATTATCACTTGGGTGCAACCTCTTCCCTCACCCAGAGCTCTCTCCCTGCTTTCAATTTTTGCTTACCAAGCAGGCACTAACTGCAAGCCTGATTTCAACTTTCATCTCACATACGGCTAAGCATTACAAGTAAATGTTTTAGGTGATTGCACATCCTTACTGGAAAATTATTTCATTACTCTTAGCCTGGGTTCACACTGATGCGGTGCGGAATTCGCAACGTTTTCTGTGCGAATTCCACACAGCATCACAATCGCACTCCTTCATGCGAACCGCTGCGGGTGTGTATGTTAAGTTAACACCCCGAAACCTGTCCACAAAACGCAGTGCGATATGCAGAATCGGATTGCATAGGTGTGAATACCCAATGCGATCCGTTTCTAGTGCGGACCCAAAAAAAGGGTCCTGCACGTTTTTGGTGTAGGTGCGGTGCGAATACAAAATGTATGGCTCCAATCGCACCGCACACAAATCGCATGTGAGTCACACAGGAATGCGGTGCGGTTCCTGTGGGAATCACATGCGATATACCGCACCGCATATATGTGAACCCAGGCTTAAGGGATTACCTGAGTGATGCAAAGCATTTTTATACGTGTCTGAGTTTGTTTAAAGAAAAGTTCCAAGCAAATATATATTGATTGAAAAATTGCTGTTGTATTTTTTTTTTTTTTACCTGTATGCCATATAATCCTTTGCATTAATGTCTCATTACCGTGTGCCCATTTGCTGAAACTTCAGACCTAGACCACTGTAAAAGTGTTTTGCTAAACAGACCTGGACAACAGCTCTGTCGGTGTCATGTTTCAAGCACTAGGGGATAATCTTGACTGTTAAGACAGGTGTAAAGCACAGGCATTTTTAGAGACTCTGAATTAGTGGGTAAGGAAGGCTAGAAAGGGTTAAGTCAGTGCAGGGGGTTTGAAAAATGCATAGGTGGGAGCTGGTTGGTAGAGGGAGAACGTGGGTGGTCTCCTGGCACCTTTGGGTGGGGTGGTCTGGGTGGGGGGCGGTCATTCGGAAGCTGGACGTTGGTGAGTGAGCTTCAGCGAGCTCCCCTCACACCCTACCCACACCAGCATCATTAGGGCCTTTTCCCTGGGACAGTGGGCTTTTATGGATGGTCTGGTGGCCCAGCTGCGTGAGGCGGCAGCCTCACGTGGCATAGACTGGCTGCAGAGCCGGGTCTCTGCCTTTTTGCAGGACCCGGTCTTGTCCCTTGACCCGGGCTTATCGCAGGGCCCGGGCTTCCCGCCGGAGGAAGAGGAAGAGGGGCGGGAGCGCCACACGTGCTCGGAGGTCTCGGCCTCCGGAGCGCTTCAGCCCGGACTCCCCACCCCCCAGAGCTCAGCGCCGCATCAGGAGCCCCACACGGGACCCTCCGGCCCCGCAGGCAGGGCTCTCTCTGGCCTCTGCTCGCGGGGGAGCCGGGAGGAATCCTCAGCTTCGGCGGAGCTCGGTGGGCGGGGTTTCGCACGGAGGAAGCCCCTCCCCCCCGCCCGCACGGCAACGGAGACGGGATGGTAACGGCTCCTCCACTGGCAAGGTGCATGCCAGGGAGGGAGCCCAACGTGGGAGACGGAGCGCTGCGGCTGCCGGGCTGTCCCCTGCTGCAGTCGGTGGGCCTCCTGTACGGCATGGAGCGGCGGCTCTGAAGAGGATCCAGCAGAAGGGCGGCTCTGGGCAGAGTGCTGAGGAGATCGTGACAGGACGGAGACCAGGGACATCGAGGGGCGTGGCTGGTGCCGGGAGGCGGAGTCGGCTGCGGCACGGCCCGGAGGGACCCGTGGCTCCTGGGACGGGGAGGCCATGCAGCCGTCAAGAGGAGGTCGACCGATCGGAGGGCGAGCTGTCTGAACCCGATGCGGGGGTGACAGCTGGGGCCGCTCTGCAGCGATGGAGTCGGGAAGCGCGGCTGATGGGACATCTCCTGGGCAGCCTGGTGAGTTCCCTATTTTATTCTCTTCTGCGCTTCGGGACCTGTTGGGGGGGGGGGGCGCGGCCTCGGCGGAGAGGGATGTGGGCGTTCCCGCGTCAGGTTTAGGGGGGGGTCTCGGCGATTTGATGTTCGGCCTGAGGGATTTGTTGCGGCGTTTTGAGCAGGGTGAGGGTAGGGCCCCTGGGCCTGCTTCGGCGTGGCTTCCGCCGCCGGGTGTCGGGGTCCTAGAGCAGGAGGGGGGGGGGACAGGCGGAGCTCGGGGGTTTCTCCCCCTCCTGGTTCTGCGCCAGGGGTGGTTACAGCGGAAACAGGTGCTCTGGTTTCCGGGGTGGTAGATGGGGGGCGCTGGGGTCTCCGGACAGTAGGCGTGGCGGACTCGGCCAAGGGTGAGATATATGTCTGTTTTGAGGGCCCTTTGGGTGCGCACTTGCCGTTGGAGGTTCGGGAGCGGATTTGGAGGGGGGAGTATGTGGACATTTTCACGCTCTTGCCTTTGGAGCGTTTTCCGTTAGATGGGTCGCGGGTTGACGAGGGTAGGCGTGAGGACGCTGATAAGCGGCGTTTTCGTTTTATCCCGCGGACATTTGCAAATTGGATGCAGGCATTTGCGATCATGGCCAGTGTCATTGGGGAGAAGACTCCTGAGCATTGCTCAGCTCTCTTTTGCTACCTGGATGCCATTAGCGAGGCTAACAGGGTTTACGGTGGGACCGCATGGCTTCGATACGACGAGCAGTTTCGGCAGAGGCGGGCTGTTCGCCCTTCATTGCGTTGGGACCATAAGGACATAGGCCTTTGGATGCGCCTCATGACTCCCGTGCGGGCTCCCGGTTCGTTTTTTCAGGGTGGGGTCGGTGGTTCATTCTCCCCTGGACAATCGGCCTCAAAGCGTAGGGGTGTATGTTGGCAGTTCCAAGAGGGCGCGTGTCGTTTCGGGGGGTCCTGCCGTTTCAAACATGAGTGTTCAGGTTGCGGCGGCTCCCATCCTTTGTCGCGCTGTTTCAAGCGGGGTAGAGGCCTGCCCGGAGAGCATGCGAGTAAGAGGGACAACTCCGGTGAAAGTGGAAAGGATGCGGCCTTTCCTAAATAGATATCCGGATCGAGCAGCCGCCGGGTTGCTGTTGGCGGGGTTTTCGGAGGGTTTTCGTATTCCGTGTAGTTTGACTTCGATCCCCCCTTTAGCTCGCAACTTACGGTCGGCGGTGCAGCATGCTGAGGTGGTTTCGGCAAAGTTGAGTAAGGAAGTGGGGCTGGGACGTATGGGCGGGCCGTTTTCTTGCGCTCCGTTTTCAGATCTGGTGGTTTCACCCTTGGGGGTGGTGCCCAAGAAGGAGCCGAATTCGTTCAGGTTGATTCATCACCTGTCTTTCCCCAAAGGGGGGTCGGTTAATGACGCCATCGATCCGCAGTCCTGTTCGGTGTCTTACACATCGTTTGATGCGGCAGTTTTTCTGGGTTCGTCGTTATGGGCGCGGTTCGCTTATGGCGAAGTCAGATATTGAGTCCGCATTTCGCTTGTTGCCGGTACATCCGGATAGTTTTCGTTTTCTGGGGTGCCATTGGCAGGGCTCGTTTTACGTTGACAAGTGCCTTCCCATGGGGTGTTCGATCTCTTGCGCTTTGTTTGAGCGGTTCAGTTCGTTCTTGGAGTGGGTGGTGCGGGATGTCTCCGGGATAAATTCGGTCATCCATTATTTGGATGATTTTCTTTGCGTGGGTCCGCCCGCTTCCAGGGTTTGCGCGGTTTTGTTGGCTACGTTGCAACACGTTGCTGACCGTTTCGGGATTCCATTGGCTTTGGACAAGACTGAGGGCCCAGCTTCAGTGATGACTTTTCTGGGCATCGTTTTGGATTCGGATGCCATGGAGTGCCGCTGCCAGGGGACAAATTGTTAGCCCTACAAGGGGAAATTCGTGGGGTGGTGGGCAAGCGAAAAATTCAGCTACGAGCCTTGCAGTCGTTGCTGGGTAAGCTGAACTTCGCTTGTCGTATCCTGCCGATGGGGCGAGTAGTTTTGCCGACGGCTGGCGGCGGCGACGGCGGGTATTATTTCCCCTTTGCATTTCATTCGTTTAACTAGGGAACATCGGGAGGACTTGAGATTTGGCATACCTTTTTGGATGACTTTAACGGACGGGCGCTGTGGATGTCGGGACCAGTCAGTAATTTTGACCTAGAATTGTTCACGGATGCGGCGGCTTCCGGGGGATATGGGGCCTTTTTTAAGGGGCGGTGGAGTGCGGCTCCGTGGCCTTCTTCTTGGGCTGCGGCGGGTTTCCTTAGTAACCTGGTGCTGTTGGAATTTTTTTCCGGTGGTATTAGCGGTTGAGGTTTGGGGTGAACATTTTAGGAATCAGAAGGTTCGTTTTCATTGTGACAACTTGGGGGTGGTCCAGGTCATCAACCGGGTCTCGGCTTCCTCGCAACCAGTGGTTGGCTTGCTTCGCCATTTAGTGTTGCGTTGCCTGCAGCTGAACGTTTTTCTCCATGCTGTGCATCTCCCTGGGGTTGATAACATCTTGGCTGACGCTTTGTCTCGTTTTCAGTGGGACAAATTCCGAGAGTTGGCGCCGGCGGCGGAGCAACACGGGGTTCCTTGTCCCGACTGGCTGTGGGAGATTGCCTTGGGGTCGTTGCAGGTTGGATCCGGAGGTCGGTGAGTGAGGCGACATGGTCGGCATACTCGAAGGTCTGGCGAGAGTGGCGGGATTTGTTACAACAGATCGAGATAGATCCGTGGGGCCCGGAGGTAGGGGTGGCGGTTTTGTATTATTTGGCAAGGAACTTGGAACGGGGGGTGTCGGCTGCTGCGGTGGATAGGCGGTTGGCTGGCTTGGCCTTCCTCTTTAAGCTTCAAGGGTGTCGGGACTTCACGAAGGAATTTTTGGGTGCGACAGGCTCTTCGGGGTTACCGTAGGGCTTGTCGCAGTAGGGATTCTCGTCGTCCGGTGTCCTTCGAGTTGTTAGGATC